ATTTGATCTCATAGCATACATTTGAATCCGATCAGGTTTAAACATTTGGATTTGAACCCAAATCCTACCAGATTCGGATTTAATCCAACTCCACTACAAATTTTCTAAAATATCAAAAATATTGAAATTTTATTTATTTTTTAATTTTTATATATGTTAAATTAATATAAATATAACACACTAAATTTATTATATACATAAATTTACATATAATATAATATTAATATATAGAATATATTTTTATAATTTTAAATATAATTATATAAAACTTATATATTAAAATTAATAAATTTTATACTATAATCGGATCGGATGTAGAGTCAGGTCTTGGATTTTCATGTACCATTGACAGCCCTAGTGGACATGCCAATTTCCTAGACACTAGGGTTGTTCATAACAAGACCCAAACCAACCAACCCAAGTTGGCCGGTTTTTCTTCAGCACCGGTCGGTTTTGGGTTACAAAAAAACATAAACCGATGGTTCGGTTCGGTTATTTCAGTTTTACTATATATTTCAATTTTACTATATATATATATATATATATATCAGTTTTATTTCAGAAATATACATATTATATATAAAATATCAGTTTTAATCCATCAAATCATTTTTAATTTTCAAGCATCTAGCCTTTGCTTTCTTAGACTTGAATCATTTACCGTTCACACTGAGAGAATCATTCACAAAACCGACCCAAACCGATTCAAACTGGCTAGGTCGGTTTTACTTAGTATTGGGTCGATTTCAGTTTCATTTCTAGGTAAACCGACCAGGTCGGGTCGGTTGAAAAAATGTCAATAAATCGACCTAACTCGACCCGTGAATAACCTTACTACATACGACGATTCTATCCACACCTACCAACAGCACAATCACGCATGGGGAATATCTCATACTCTTACATGTTATTATGCATGGGTGATGTCTCTAATGGAAGGAGGTAGTATTTTGTGGGTAGGTGTAGATAGAATTCTTGTTGATAGGAGATCCCGAGTTCATTTAAATTGAGTTCACTTTTGCTAGGCCTTCGATGTATTCCAGTGGCCCCACCAAACGTCACTTCGTCTAATTCAAAGAGGGGACAAAGTATGACATCAGAGGCTTGATTTTATTGTTTCAGCGCAGGGCTACAACAGTATTGTAGCAAATGTGATTTGATTTAAATTTGTGATCCCACTAATCCAATCTCGAGGGTCCTATCTCTATCCTGTCATGATTTTGTCTATATGTTAAACACTTCGGCTGTGTTTGGTTGCAGTGCAGTCATATTTGTACTAGTATAAATACATAGGAGTGCAAATGAAAAAAATATAAATTCTGATTTAATTTTTGTTTAGGTTTTATTAGGTCTTATTTTATTTTATTTGTATTGTAATCAAATAAAATAAGATAAAATTTGAAACAAAAATAAATCAGATTTTGCACCCAAATCATTCGCACTCTCATAATTTTGAATCAATGCAAATTTATTTGCATTCAAATACCTGTATCTCAATCTTTAACATNGAATTTCACAATGATGCTAAGGTTTCATTTGGAAATGATGCAAATAGAGTGTGAATGCAAATATGCAAATATGCTAAGGTTTCATATAAATGCAAAATTGGGTTAGCTTTGCACTAATAAATTTACTTTCTTGCCAAACAAACTTTTAGCTGTAAGGGATGCAAACACAAATCCACATTGAATGCAAATTTACTTCTTTTTAATCAATGTATATTTACATCTCATTTTCGATGTAAATATGCATTTGAAAATATGTTTCCTGTCATTTATCAATGCATAACTGCACTCTTGCCCAACACTAACAAAATTGAACCAGAATACATATTTACCCTGAACCCAGATATACACTCCATTTGCATTGTTTCCAATCAGAACCTGATTGGTCCATTCCAATTCCAACTGTTTGATTGGATAAAATGGGATTTCAATTCCCACGATTTCCACTTGATAGAATGGCATTCTCCCATTTGAGAGAATGACCATTCCTGTCCTCTCTTTGAAAATGAAAATTTCATTCCAATCAGCCAAGAAAAAAGACAAGCTTTTTAGAAACCCCCCAAAAGTGAACAAAGAAAGGGGTAGTTACAATGATCAGGCACTCACAAGCTCGAAATTGCCAGCTTGGTGGGATCAGTCACGTGATCTGACTGTTAAGATTCAACGGTTGCTCGATGTGATCTTCGTTGGTGGGTTTGATCAAATGTGGTCAAGGGTTGGGAGTCAACTTCAATACTCTAACAATACTGGGATCACGCTCACATGAAAAGCCCAAGCTGTGGCAGCGGTGAACTCGCAAGGCTGTGGTGTGCTACACTTAGCCTAGTAGGGTTAGGTCTCGCTCCATCTAATCTTGTGGAATGCGATCTCACTCCCGACTTTGTTTGGTCTTGAATCTTATAGTCTACAATCTTGTAGGTTACACCATCCATCCTAAACCCTAATCCTATACCTTTAAATGAGTGTGTAAAATGGCTAGGACACATCAAGGTTTTTAAATCGAATCGGACAATAAATCGTTCAAGGGTCCAATTCCTAGGTCGAACTGTCCGATAGTTCAAACCAATGGATGGCTCGTTCTGACAAAAAATTAAAAATATAAAACAGTCAAAAATCGTTGGATGGTTCGAACGGTTTAAATGGCTTGAATGCCCGAATCAGTGGTTTGCTAATCAAATCAACAGTTTTTGGCCAAAAGACAGTTCTGGGTAAAACGGGTGACTGGTTCCCGTTTTTTCTAATCCAACCATCCGGTCCAGTCCAGTTTTGAAAACCATGGGACACATGTCCAACATAGTAGGAGCCAAGTATTTTCAAAATAGGGCTGGATTTGTGACTAGATATGTTGTATGCAAACACCCAACATGAGCCTCTTTGCATCCTGTCCCTATTTGCATTCACTTAAACTGGTGGGTGTTTTATTTACGTTTACCCTGTAAATAAACAACAAATGTAGCCTTAAAAACATAATCTAAAGTTTAAACACTTTTAAACCCCAAAATGTATGCATTTGTACATTTTCCAAACTGAGCCTTAAAAGGAGTGCAAATGCAAATATGTAGAGTGCAAAATTTTTGTATGTATTTGTATTGTACATGTTTATATTTATACTCCTTCTAAACTGGGCTTAATAATAATAATAATCCACTTATCCGAAACCTTTAGTTTTTGAAATTTCTTTTGGTAGCACTTTTTTTAAACAAAAATCATGCGTATAGGCAAACACCCCATTAGTTGTCGTAGCTATTTTTTGAAGCCCAGTGGCGATCGTTCGTCTTTATAATTTATGGCTAGTCCCTGTCTCAAAAACTTTATGAATCAAGAAAGAAAAATGGAGATACAGGGTATCGATCCCCGTACCTCTCGCATGCTAAGCGAGCGCTCTACCATCTGAGCTACATCCCCAATGATTAATATTTTAATTTTTTTTATTTAGTACTGACATTTAATTTAATCTGAAAACTAGAAAGATAATCAATCAATGAATCAACCGGTATCTTAAAATTGGTCAAAGCTATGAATAAAATGGGCTGTGGCTCAAGCTCGGCAGGCAATTGTGACTTGTGGACAGTAGGGTTGTAATTGGATTGGATGTAACAAAATCCACATCTGATTTGATTATTGATAGCATACATTCAAATCTGATTGGATTTAAAGATTCGGATTCGAATCTTAACGGACTTGAAAAGAATGCAAATTCTAGTTTAATTTTTGTTTGGGTTTTATTAGGTCTTATTTTATTTTATTTGTACTGCAATCAAATAAAATAAAGTAAAATTTGAAACAAAAATAAATCAGAATTTGCACCCAAATCATTTGCATTATCATAGTTTTGCAACAGTGCAAATTTATTTGCATTGCAACCAAACACAGCCTAGGAATGACCAAAACCCATAGCCCCAAATACCTGTCTCTCAATCTTTAAACCCCCTTTCCCGAATTTCATAATGACACTAAGGCTTCATTTGGAAATGATGCAAATAGAATGTGAATGCAAATATGCAGTGTAAAACGGTCCATACAAATGCTAAGTTGGGCTAACTTTGCATTGATAAATTTACCTTCTTACCAAACAGATTTTTAGCAATAAGGGATGCAAACACGAATCCAAATAAAATATATGCCTTTTTTAACAAAAGCCCACATTGAATGCAAATTTACTTCTTTTTTGTCGTTGTACACTTACATCTCATTTTCGATGTAAATGTCTTGCCAAACACTAATAAAACTGAACTAGAATACATATTTACCCTGAAACAGAATTTACACTCTATTTGCATTGTTTCCAATCAAAACCTGACGGATCCATTCCAATTCCAACTGTTTGATTGAATAAAATGAGATTTCAATTTCCATGACATTCTTGAGAGAATGACCACTCCTGTCCTGAGAATTTCATTCCAACCAGCCAAAAAAAGGCAAGCTGCTTAGAAAACCCCCCAAGCCCTCTCTTTACCCGGTCGGTCATGCATATCTTAAAGAGTCCAATTCAGATTCCTATCAGAACCAACCATAGAGGGTAGGTGTACAGATCCTTAGAATGGAGTTCACATCTG